TGTTCCATGTAGGAAATACATGCACAAGAGTGACTGTTGGACACTCGTGCATATTTATATGCTGTAAAACCAAAGGAGGGTTTAAAGTGAGGTTTACGTAGTTGTCAAGTCCATCACAAGTCTATCACTGATCATTAACAAGTTATATTGATTATAGCACTTGAAGCAAATGACAGGAGAATTATTTTATTGAAATAACAGAGGACTTAAAGACTGGATGATTTGTCATTGGATCATGACGACATCAGCAACAACTTGCATTGTACTTCCTTTTGTCTTCCATGTATGAAGATTAGCAAGAGGGGGATAAATTGTTAGCTTAAAACACCAAACCACAAATCGTTTTGGGAATTCTCTTCCAAAGGTTACTGTTATACATCTCTATCCAGTAACCTGGAAATTTTACACTAACCCTAACAGTTCTGCATAAAATTTGGCTTGTAGTACTCTGTACTGTAAAATACTAAGCAATGGTCTGAGCCTGAAGGACCTAGCGCTACAAATTACTACTTCTGGCTAGGGCACCCCCTTTCATGTTCATCTATTTGTTACTCGTACAGAGAACAGTAAAGTCATGCATTCATAGTGCCACAGCACTGTATGGTACATTGTCTTCTCTATTGCACCTTATGGCTTCAGAGAACAGGTCACGTCCTCTTACAAGCGACAGCACTGAACATTACATTTTACTACTAAGTAGTTTGTAGTGTTTAGGGCTGTTAGGGCTAATACTCTGACAAATTGGAGACTGTCAACAGACTGCTAAATCACTAATTGGAATTAGCTAACATGGTGCTCTTGACATCAAGGCCTGCCCACCGGTATGTATTCAGTGTACTTGTCACATCTCTTTTTGATGATCTGCAGTTGCTATATTTTGTTCCACTCAAATCTTTGCAGGTGTGAAGATGAAGAGCAAACCATCCTTCTTGTCAAGACACTGGATAATGAGGTGAGCATTGATACTGGTTTGTCAACATCATAGCAACAGCCGTAGTTATGAAGGATTGTTGCTTGCTGTCATGTGGGACATGATGCTTTTTACGGCTTAGCGAGACAGTATTTTATTGAGGTATATGCGACTCAAGTTTAACTTGAGTCTGAGTCAGCAACTTGAGTCAGCAGCTCTTAAATTCATGAGCTTGTCTGAGCAGACCTGGAACCCATGACCCTGTGCACCTACATGTAGCGCAGATGTCCTAACCCCTGAATCAACATGCGTATCAGGTTATTTGACCAGTTTTCATTTAAAACATCTGTCGATACCACGTTTTTTGCTTTA